AATTAACAAACGGAGACGTAACAGTATTTTATAGTAAAATTAAGTGTAAAATCTCCGATTTTCTTTATTTCTTAGAAAAGTCAAGAATAAAACATTACTACTTTAATTAATGAAAAATATTATATCATTTCCAAATTAAAAAAGCAAATATCTCATTTCTACAATAAAAACAATGTTAGAAATGGACTAAGTTTGGAAAGAATCTGAAACAACATTCTAGCTTTAAGAATTTTAATGAGAATTCTTCTTTTTAATCAATTGCAATAATTTCCTTTTCTTGATAAGTATAGTGATATTTGAGGTCGCCGACATTTTCACAACAAATCATGGCTTAAATATTCGGTGTCTTGATCAAAAGGGTTCCATTTTAAAATGCGTTTATCAAGTTCGTATATCTACTCCAATAATATGAAAATACCAAGGTGTTTGAAACACAAAAAATTGCATATTTTAAAGCAAAATAAAATATAAAATCTCGGATTGTTTGTATTTTTTAAAAAACAACTCAAAAATGAAGCATTACGATTTCAAAGAAAAATATTGTATCGCTTCCATGGCTGACAAAAAGAAATGTCTCTTTTCCACAATAAAAACAATATTAGAAATAGAATAAATTTGGAAAGAAGCTGTAAAAACATTCTAGATTTAAAATTTTGAATGAAAATTCCTCATTCTTTAATCAGTCGTACTAACTGACTTTTCTTGAGAAGTATAGCAATATGTAAGATCGCCGAAATTTTAGCAACCAAACATGGCTTAAATATTGGCTGTTTCGATGAAAAGAGTTCCATATTGAAAAGCATATACCAAATTAATCTTTCTAGATCAGTAATATGAAAATAAAATGTTTCATGAAATTTTTTTAAATACCAAAAAAAAAATAGCCTTGGTAATTTTTACGAAAATGTGATTTTTTGAAACACATCAAAAAGTGCATATTTTAAAGCAAAATAAAATGTAAAATCTCCGATTCCCTTTATTTATTAGCAAAAGTTAAGAATGAAGCATGACAACTTTAATGAAAAATATTATACCGCTTCCAAAGCGAAGTCTCCCGCTGGGACAGCAGTAAGTCTACGGATTTACAACGCTAAAATCAGGGGTTTGATTCCCCTCGGTAGACACAGCAGATAGCCCGATGTGGCTTTGCTACAAGAAAAACACACAAACACACTCCAAAGCCAAAAAAAGCAAATGTCTCTTTCCCACAATAAAATCAATGTCACGGATGAACTAAATTTGGAAAGAAGACGTAAAAACATTTAATAATTTGAATGAAAATTCCTCTTTTTTTATCTAGTTTTATTAATTTTCTTTTCTGAGAAGTATAGCAATATCTTAGTTCTCGAGAATTTTTACTACTAATCAATTCGTAAATATTGGATGTCTTAATGAAATGGGTTCCATTTTGAAAAGCATACATCTAGTCCATATTTCTAGACCAAAAATATGAAAATAAAAGTTTTCGCGAAGTGTTTGGTAATTTTTATGAAAATGTGATTTTTTGAAACACATCAAAATGGGCAAATTTTAAAATAAAATAAAATGTAAAATCTCCGATTTTCTCTCAGAAAAACTAAAGAATAAAACATTAGGATGTGATTTGATAAACCTGTTGCTTACTGTAAATCACTTAAAACTTTGGGTTTGTCTGGGAAGAAAAACATAAATAACTGGTGGAAAACTTCTTTAATGTCTGTCATTCACTTGATACAAAATACTTTCACAGAAAATATGCATTCTAGAGTATTTCAACATCCTGACTACACTAACCATGAAATTATAAGAAGCTTCTTATGAAACACCTCAGCACATAATAGCAAGTTACTGAAAAGTTAATAAAAACTGTTCTCAGTTGTAAAATATTGTACAAAATATATTTAAAAATGTTACCCAAAACAGTTGATACTTTCTGCATTTGTGTAATAAGGCCATTTAGTGTTAATAACTTTAACACAAATATGTGGTGATTTATTTCAGCAAAATATGATTATAAAGTTTACATATTGACTAAAGAAGCAAATTATGCTTTTGAATTTTATAAAATTAAAAAATACCACTATATAATTAAATATAATCAGTAATTACTAAAAATGTCTTTAAAGTATGTTTAAAATTGCTGGGATAAGAATGTCTGTAAAATGAAACTGCTATAACAGAACAAAAATACTGGCATAATGCTAAATTTATAAAGTTAAACATATACAAGCAGATGTTATTGATTCTAGTAAATGAACAAACTTATCGCAACAAATTGTATCTATTATAAACAAAGAATTCTTGCAAAGGGAAAACACTGTTTTTGAATAATACAAATATTAGCATTGAAAAATCAACAGAATAACAACTTTTCAAAACACTTTATTGGGGACAGCCTTCTTCATGTTGAACCATGTGTTTTTCAAGCCAACGGAATGTTTTTGTCAATACCTTATTCTCTGCCACTGATATTCTTGTCCATTTGAATATGCTGGTAGTTTGGTCTAAAATATATCGATACCTGGAAACGTAAGAAATACTATATTAA